TGGATCTAGGAAGTTGGAGGTAATAAAATTTGGGGACTAAGTCGAAATAATTTACAATACAAATGTTACTTGTCCCTAACAGGATTAGGCATTGACTTTATAACAAATATAATAGATATTACCTGTGAAGGAAGATTAAGATTATCTAATGCCGAGTTTTAAGCCGAGTTTATAAATCGAAAGGTTGGCGCCCATTGTCCGGTTAAATGAATAGTCGTTTCTCCACGAAACGTGTAATTATCCTATTCTCGTTCGAGAAGCGTATACCAGTTTAAGATTAATGAAGAACGAACACGGCGTTTCTCTGATGTGTTTCCGAATGAATCAATTTAATCCAATTTCTCGATATTTATTGACAAAACTTTTCTCTTTCTTTTCCCTCGTCGTAATTAGCCTTTCATCTCTTCCATCTCTCCATAAAATTCCCTCGATTCGATCTTGTTTTGAACAAAGGTTCAATCATTTTTACCGCTCTGCACTGAACAAAAGAACAAAATATTATCGCGCGTATTAACACGCGATAATTAATTGATCATGAAACAACGAATAATCACGTTGGGAGAGGAAAAATAGTAATCGCAGGGAGAGTCGAAAAGCTAACAGCTTTTTGGATAAAAGCGATGGACCAGTTTTTGCTCGTCGCGCTGGTTTATTAATGCAACGGATGATCGTTCCTCGCTTCGTTAAAACGTAATCACGTTCAATTATCCGAACAAAGTGTCCGCCATTTCGGTCGGATAATCGAGGTCGCGCTGTAATTTGAATAAACCACCGCGCGAAAAATCCGCCGATGCGTATCGCGAGGACAAAAACGAAACGTTAACCGACTCTCCGCTTTCATCGTCGGCCGAAAATATTTTCATCCAATCGACTCCTATATATATATATATATACGTGCCCATTTAACCTTCTTCCAGATGCAATTTTTGCGATTATAAACCAACCGATTATATCCTTCGAATCGGTCATCACGTCGAATATCTCGAAATATTTTAATAAACCTTTGCTAAGAATCCCACGGCGAGAAATATTCGTAAAAGAAGAAAGAAAGGAAGAAGAAAAAAAAAGTAAAAGAAAAAAAGAAGAAAAAGAAGAAGAAAGAGGAGAAAACAGCGAAGAGGAGAGAAGCGAGAAGCGCGAGGATTAAACGCGAAAGCAACGACGTCTGGCCCATCCTTTAATCCGGTCGAATATTAACCAGATTCGCGGCCCTGGTCCTTTCATATTTCGCCGGTGACGGCATCCTTCGACCTCCAATCCTCCTCTCCTCTCCTCGATCGAGAACCGAGAACAGAAAAGAAAGACGGTTCGAAACGAATAAAAAAAGTGAAAGCAAAAAAAGGAAAGAGAAAAAAGAAAGAAAGAAAGAAGAAAAATCATCTGCGAGAAATCAGAAAAATGTGGGGGTGGAGGAGGAGGATGATGAAAAGGGATACACGTCGATTCGCGACATTATGCAAACGCGATAGGGACGCTTGTGTACGCGCCACTGTCGCGAAACGCAACGGGGGCAGAGAGCCGTAGGGGTCTGGGGGGTGGAAGTGTGCCGCGCGGGATGAGAGAGAGTCATAAAATCGAGCGAAGTGAACGCCAGGAGGGAGACACTGAGTGATGTCGGTGACAGCCGCCTCTCTGCCCTCCTCCGCCTCCGCCGCCTCCTGTCGCTATTACTCACCCAACGCCGAATACCATTCAAAGTTCGAAACCGCACGTTCGCGACCCAATTCCTGCGTGGAGTCAGCTGTTCGTTCGGTTCATTCAAAGCTCGATCGACCGCCGCCGCCGCCGGCTGGCCGTCCCGCGACCAGACGCGTTGAATTAATAACCGGGGAAATAACAAACAAAAAAAAAAAAAAAAAGAAAAGAAAGAAAAAAAAAAGAAAGGAGGAAAGAAAGAAGAAAGGGAAAAAAGGGGGGGGAAGCTGGTGAAAAAAGGAAAAAGGAAGAGGAAGGAGGGGGAGGAGGGGGAAGAGCGAGAGAGGAAAAGGAATAGGAGAGGAAAAAAGAAGTGGCGATAAAACGAAACGATGTTTAACGCCGGTCGAGTGTTTTCCCACCACCACCACCACCACCCTCCTCTCCCCCTCGATTGCCCTCCTGTGTGTGTACAACACCCCTTTGGCAAAGCGATGAAATACGGCAACGAGTCGAGAATGACAACGTCGATACGATTCTATGAATTCGTCGGATCTTCGAGCACGTTCCAACGACGGGTCTGTCCGACGGCCGGAATTTAACCGAGCATCCGTTATTTGTCAGGATCATCGACTGCGTTATTTAAGACGTCGAGCAAGAGCGACGAAACTTCTTGCCAAGAAGCGGGAATCTCCGCGTCTATTTTACTATTTCTGGCGCGATACGCGCAGTTTTTTTTTTCCTCTCCTTGGCGAACGAACACGCGTGAAAAATTTCGAATTGTGTTCGACTTTCACTGATCGAATATATATAACAATAGTAATTTTTAAGAAGGTATTTAACGAAACTGTACGATCAGTTCGATCGATCGACACTTTCCTCGTTGTAGTATAGTACGTAGAAGTGGAAAGAACGTTCCTCCGACAAGCGCACCATATCGCATGGATTGTAAATTGTCAATTTCTAAAAACGTAACCGCGATGAGGTACGGCTAAGCTATCACTTGCGTAGTAGTCGGTTTCACCGGCACGGAAAGTGAAAAACGATACGATCGTTTCCGTCCTAGAGCTGCTTCTTCACATCGAGCGCGTAACGAGAAAAATCCGCCTAGGTAAAGATAGAAACTTGGACGTGGATCAGAGAGCGTGGTGGAGAGAAAGTCGAGTCGATTCCGGGGGGCTTCCTCTTTAGCCAGACGCAGGAATCGAAGGCATTTCTCGACGATGCCGTTCGTTCGCCGCCCGTGCCTCGTCCTCTCCTCGTGTGTTCGTCGGTCTCGTTCGTCGTCGTCCGTCGGCGGTCTCGTTGGTAGTGGTGTAGCGATGGCGGAGAATCCCGTGGTTCGCGGTCTCGCCGGCGCGGCGCTGCTGTCGGGGCGGCGTGGTGGGGATGTAGGCGGCGCCAGGGGACGCATTGGCCGCGCTCGGTGGGCGTGACTGCGCGCCTCCCACTCCTTGGCGTAGCGCGGCGCTGATTGACAGTTGGCGAACGACTGCGGACGGCGCAGGATCTAAAACCGCGCTAGGCGCTGCTCTCCACGCTCGCTCGCTCCGCTCTTCTCTTACCCGTGGATGTACCCGGTGCTTTTTCGTGGGGGAAGAACTCGAAACACGCATATTCCCGTGGCTGCCTTTGCCCGCCGGCCCGCGCGCAACATATACACCAACCTTCCACCTTCTGTCCGCCGGAGTTACGAGTGGCACACGCAGTAGTAGTTACGGTTAGGGAGGAGGGTCGGCCGCCGTCTCGCGGACAGCTCTCTCGCGCGTCACCTCTTCTCTCACTCCTCTGCGTGACCGGTTCGTTCGTTCAGTAATCGCCGCGAGGAGGAACGCGCTTCTTCTTCCGCCGCGGACTCCGTCTACGACGCGATATCCGACCGCTTTTCCACATTCGTCGCGTGGAGAATCATCGGTAAATACGAGTCGAACTCGGTTGTGTTTATCGTGTTATTGTATCGTCGTATATATTAAACGGTAATCACGGAGATCTGTTTGGCGCGCTGTTTCGGACGACATTGAAAAGGAAAACAAGAGATAATTCGTGGCTACACATCGAAGCTACTCTCGAGTGCTTGAGTTTTCGTTCGTGTCGCGCGCGAACACGCGACCACGAACGGATCTTCGAATTTCTATTTCGAATCTTTTCGGATTTAACAACGGTGGACATTGAGACGCGCGAGAAATTTCGCGTAATTTCTCCGTATATATTTCTCTTCTCGACGAGAGAAGATCATCGATCGCGTTCGAAAGCATCGTCGAGATATCGGCGGTTTGGTGTCTCGTGTCCAAGTTCTTTCGAGGCCACACAGTGTGTCGCGCGCGCGATCCTCGCCATCCATTTGTGCTGCTCCGTTTTACCGATCACCAGTGCTATTCGAAACTGCATCGACGCCTCGACTTGGCGCCAATGATCGACGGTGTATCGAAGGATGTAAACGTGTCCTCCACAGTGACATATCTTACCGGTGTTTATCCGTGCCGTTTATTACTGTGAAATAACCAGTAATCCAGTGCATCCTCAGATATCTCTCCCTTTCTCCGACGGCCAACCCGATACATTCGTGGGCCCGATATCCATAGTGGACATCACAGAGTATCCGTGATAACTGAAGATCGTGTGACAAATACGTATGAAATATATATATATATATATATGTATATATATATATATATATCTTGGTGACAAATCGAGAAAACAGAAAAAAGAAAAGAATCGTGATTTCTCTTATCCGTCGGGAAACTCGAATACCCGCCCCTTTTAAAATTTCTCGTACATTAACGTTTCTTTAATGCCTTGTCGACCGAGAGAGATCAGCTTGGCCTGGAGAGACGAGTTTAAAGAGATCGGATCGAAAAATTGATTGGGGAAAAAGAAGAGGAGACGAAAGTGAAGGAAGAAAGGAAGAATTAAGAAGAGAAGATCGACGAAGTGGAGGGATAGAAAAGGAATCGAGCGACGCATAATATGCCGCGAGACTGACGTTACGGAGAGGCACGCTCTCTCTCTCTCTCTCTCTCTTTGGGTGGTGTCCGTACAGCGGAAGTGTGACGATGAGGAAGCACGTGTGTCCGGCCGTAGCCGTGGTCCTGCTGCAGCGTTCAACCGCGCGAGCCAAGCTGTGCTGACGCTCGTCGCTTCGATTTCTCGTCGTCGAGCAGCGTGTCGCCGGTCGACTCGGATCGTCCAAGAACCCGACGGAGGAGCCATCCGCGCAGCGTCCATAGAATTAGAGTGCGATCGAGGGGACCGTCGGGAACGGAGATTCGTTTTCAAAAATTCTTTGTTACTCGAAATTCTTGTTCCTCGACGTGGAAAAAGGGGAGGATAAGATATAAATAAACACATCGAAAAAGGAAAGAGAATCGAAGGGAAAAAGTGCGCGAACACGGACACGTTCGGCCAGCGACGGCATCTGGTCTTCTTCTCGTCTCTCCCTCCCCCCCCTGCCCTGCCCTTCGTTGTGGATTTATCCTCCGTGATATTCGGCGAAAGGAAATAATCCGCGAGTCCTCTGAGTGTGACGAAAGAAACGGAAACGGGCAAACCGATCGCCGCGATAAGGCGGATCGAAAAGTGGGGAAACCAGTGTGTGTGAAGTGTTCGAGGTTACTTGCTTATACTGTGGGAAAATACAGCCGCTACGGTGGCTCAGCACGCAGAGTTCCCCGGCGCGGCCAGGGCGTTCATGGCGCAGCCAAGGGTACGTGATCGATGATTATACGATCTTTGGGATAGGGATCGAATATTTCGAGACGTAGGCGCGTGGTATATAGGTGTCGAATGGTAGGAAAAGTGATTTCTCTCTCTCTCTCTCTCTCTCTCTCTTCTCTCGATAACCGTTCCTTATCCCGAGTAATATGTGAACCGGCCGTGATATATGTTACCTCCTTGCTTCTGTAATTGTTGGGGGAATTGATAGGGAAGTGATTGATACTTGGAAAGTTTCTAAATTACTTTTTATTCGACTAACGCTGTAATGTAACGTAGGTGTCGCTTCTTGTTGCTCCTGTAATTGTTATGGCAGATATCGATCATTGGAAAGTGATAGCGAATACATACACACATATTTGTGATTCGTAATTATTGTCCGCGATAAGCTTCTTGTCGCTTCTCTACATTACGATCGTTGTATCGACGATACCTAGATGAATTACAATGATTCACGCGTGGACGATATGAAGTGTCGTTTCGCCAATTAACAGGTGAAGTTGAGAATCCGATTCCACCCGTCGCTACGAGATGCTGCCCATCTCTTCGTGGCCGGTCCACGCAGGGGGATCGATGCTTAATCGGAGGCAAATGCGTGTCGGGGCGCAGGCTGGCAGGAATCTTGGAAAATACTTGTAGAGGAGAGGGTGTGCTCGATAGAATTTCGTGAAAGTGGTCGATCGGATCGGGTTAAATCGGGTTGGAACAGGAGGCCGTTGGGACGTGTCGAGTGGGATTCGTGCACGGCCGATTTGAAACAAGGGCCTCGACTTTGTTTGGCCCGTAATTGAGCAACTTGGATGCTCGAGGTGTGGTGGAGCTCGTTGCGTAGGCAAAACCGTAACGCTCGAAGGGTGTCTCTCGAGGGATCGTAAGTGTAATTTTATTCTCGACTCCTGGCGGGGAAAAAAAATTTGGTGAAAATCCTCCGAGTTGTCGAACGCTGTGCCGAATTTCACTTCGATCGATAAGGAGAAGAAAAGTGCGCGAAAAAGATTCTGGGACGATTTTATAGGGGAATTGAAAATACGCGTGGAGACGAGTGAAACAATAACACTTGGATGGCCGAGTGAAACTTGGATAAGATACGTGGTTGGAGTAAAAAAAACGAGTGGTCGCGTGCAAGTGCAGTGCCGTCGTCGATCGCAGTGTTGGAGTGGAGAGAAATTCTCGAGAGAGGCGAGGGACAAGCCGAAATTATCATTTTACGTGGATATCGAATATTGACACGCACATGTCGAGCGCCCGCCTCGAATCGATACGCGGTTGACGTTCCAGGGATTGATTACGATTCTTCCTTCGTCGATCGGAATGAACCGAATCCATTTCTATCCGTTGCTCGTTCACGGACGTGATCTACCTCATTTTTTCGCTCGTTCCTCGTCTTGGAAAATCGAACCGACGCTGGCTCGGACACTGGCTGTCCGTCGGATGTGAAATAGCGTCCACTCGATGGTGTTGTTCGATTCTAAGTTTTCGAAATAGGAAATTTGTATTCTTCCGTCGAGACGTTTCTTGGATGATGCAATTTATTTATTTTTATTTTTTTTTTTTTTTTTTTTTTTTTAGTGAAAATTTGCGGGGAAAGTTTTATATAATGCTTTTTCGTAGCAAGTTTGAATCACAGGTTTTCAACGTTCCAATGTGGACAGTGATTTAAAAAGAAATCTTCTCAAACTTCTTGTCAATGTCAACATTTTATCGTTCGATTGCGCGAATAATTTTGTTTCAATTTGAAAATTGTAAAAGTTGAATTTGAAGATCTTTCTGTATCTCTATTATTCGAGAAACACGTGCCGTTCCCCAAAGAAATATTTTCTTAAGCGCGATAACGCGAGATGCAAGGATAAAATTTATCAGTCGATACCCTCGATCCATCGTGGTGTCACGATTTCCACAGTGGCCGGCTATTATAACGTTACTTCCGCGAACGTTTAATCCGACAGGTTTTCTCAAATTCCGATTCGATGATCGCACGGTTTTATCGAAAGTGAAAACGGTGATATCGGTGTCGATAAAGAGCTTTACGAGATCGCTGATAAGCGACGATCGCTCGCGTGCCAGACGATTTTCAAGTGAACTACTAACTCACCTTCTCGTCAGTCTCTCTTCCTCGTCAATGTTGCGTTTCAACGCTGTGCTTCCGCGTTATTCTCCAACCGATACACGAATGTCTCATCGTGGAAAAAAATTATTCGATCAAACAACTCGACGACGATTCCTCCACTTCTTCGAGGAGAATTCGATCGCGTAAAGAGCGAATCGATAAGAGGATCTCTCGAGCGAGCAACGTTCGTCCAATTGGTGAATTTCGTTGCTCTTTGTAAAGTTTGATAAAGTGAGTTATAATCGGATATTTGTGTCACGTTTTAATAATGGATCGTGGTTTTGACCGGCCGCGTTTAGAAATTTTAAACAGCAAGCGAGTTTTTGTCTCGAATGCATAATTCGAGATTCGAGGAAACGTGGAACAGCACGCGTATCGTTGAACGATCCCGTGAAATAGGCGAATGAATTTTCATGTGGGAGGAATGTTGAGGTTAGCTTCCGCGGAAACTAAACTATTTGTTAAATATCGCGAACAGTACCTCGAGGCGTTTCGATTAGCCGTGAGATTTAGCCCGGTAAAAATAATTCGTGCAAAAATTCGACGTATTTTATCCGCCTGAATAATGGATTCCGACGTTCTGATATATTAATTCGGATGGAAAAAAAAAATTCAGGTGCACGCGTGTTCTGCCCGACGAATATTGTAAACGCAGCGATGGAAGAAAGTTCTTTATTAATCTCTCTGACGCATTCATGCGCCGGAATATTTTATGTCCCGCAATATAATCTCACCGTTTCGAACTTTTTAATAAAAATGCGGAACGAAAAGAGAGAGAGAGAGAGAGAGAGAGAGATTCTTCAATTCCATATTTCCTTGTTTTCTCTTTCATTTCGTCCGAATCGCCACACCGAATGAAATATGCGCTCCCAAGTTGTTGGCCGCCATCTTGGTCATCACTGACCGCCACCACTAACTTTAATTAACCCGTACAACAACGGCGTTGCCACTTATATTTGTCAAACGCGCGACCTTGATCGATATCGGGAGGGGAAAGAGAGAAAAAAAAAAAAGAAATTCCGTAGAATCGAGAGTCGCGCAACTCTGTTACGCAATCTGTTTGTCTTTTTCGAATCGTGAAAATTATCCATTTCCAATCGAATGGGACGAAATATTTTCTTCCATCGTCAGTTTAAAAGTATCGAGTCTTAGTTTCCCAACGACCAGCTAATTCTTGGTAAAATTTGAGAAAGTATTCCTCAAAAATGTGGTTCGTGCTTCGAGCAACGTTTTCCTCGAAAACTTTTCGTTTGTTTTTCAAAAAAAAAAAAAAAATGTGATTTGTTAATGGTAATCCACTCGATATTAAAAATCGCGGTATCGAAATGGCGATAAAGAGTGCCCTCCACTGTGTAGATCGGAAGTCGAAACGGGGAGGGAGGGAGGGAGGGAGGCTTTTGTGCGATTTTAATTGGGATCCAAGAGAGCGTGGAAATAATGAAAGGCGCGGATTGGCCGATCGTACGAAATAACACGGTGCATCGACGCCGTCTCGATCGGTTTCCGCATGGCGGTTCACGTTTTACCGCTCAATTTTCCCCAGCTGCCCCAAATTGCCAAGACACCATTGGCCGCTGCGTGCAGCGCCCGTATGTTTCGCGTGTGTGAATCTTCTCGTTCCACTGCCGCTATCCCAATCTACCACGAAGACGTAATTTCCGCGTTGGATCCATCCATCCATCCGGTTCCATAATATTCGATCGGGTAATTTTGTAGCGTCGTGCGTTTCCCGGAAGCGTGAAACCATCCGACTCGTTTTATGCAAACAGGAGAGAATTTTCCTTCTCTCGACCTTCCTGAATTTTTTGCAACAATTGGAAATTGCCAGATTTAGTCAATTTGGTTCTTGTTTATTGTAATTCCAAATTGCGAAGCGATAATTTAAGGATAATTTCGAGAAAAAAATCGGCGTATCTTGAGATTTATTTTTACGAATGACGTTTCTCGGTTCGTCTAGATTATTTGTTAAAAAAAAATAATCTAAACTTTCAATGAAGCAATACCGTGTATTTTACGCAACCTCTCTTATCGTACGTTTTTACATTTCATTTTCAAATTTAAATATAAACACCCATGTAAAAGCGTCGTTAAATAGTACGAGATAATGAATCTTAATCTTAATCATTAGGAAACGATATCTTTCTCCATAAGATATTACTTGCCAGGAAAAAAGTAATCTTCCATCCGTCTCGACGGAGGCGAAGAACTTTGAAAGTGAATTTCTCGCTCCATCTCATTCCATCTCGCTTCCAAATACCGGATTTCTCTTCTGGAATAGGCGAGCGCGATTTCCAGGATTCCAAAAAATTTCCAAAGGGCGAAATCGAATAGCCGCGGATTTTTTTTTTTTTGTCCACGCCGTAGCGACGAACGAGCCGTGATTATGTATTTATGGGTATCCATCAATCACTTTCGCTCTCCCGATCGCCGCGGATATCGGCCTTTAGCCTGTGGATTAAAGTCGTATCGATTTCTCGTCGTGCGTTCCATTCGCTGGCCTCGATGAGTCGATCCTTTCCTTCTTTTTTTCTTCCTCTCCTCTCTCTCTCTCTCTCTCTCTCGTCTTCCTTCCTTCCTCTCTTCTTTCTTTTTTCTTTTTCTTCTTTCTTTCG